CTTTCTTCAAGTTCTCTACAGCTAAATTCCTCGTGAAAGTGAGATGTTCCTGCATCAAAGCTGGGCATGCCTAAACTGGCAGTATGCCTTCCAGTGGGTGTGGGTGGGTGTGAGTTGGACCCGACTAGCTTGTGCTGCTGGGTCTGATGTCGTGCTCCTTCCTTGAGTGGAGGTGACCAGACTGGGTGGGTCATTAAGCTAATCCGGAGGGGGGGGTCATTGGTCTAATCCGGGGGGGGGACATGGACCTGCTTCGCATGGGTCAGTAGGCCTGTTGCAATGTTCCTTCTTTCTCATGTTCTTATCTTCTTACATCTTTCACTGCAGCGAGGGGTCCACGTACAGTATAACTATATATCAACTCAAAAGGGCTATACTCTAAACTTTCCTGCTCGCTTTCCCTTACGGCCAGGAGAAGGAAAGGAATGCTTTCGTCCCAGTCTTTACTGAATTATTCACTGTAGGAATGCATCATCACTTTCAACGCTTGATGGAGCCGTTCCAATGCTCCTTGGGACTGGGGCCTATAGCTCGTAGCGAGGATAGATCTTATACCAAGGCAAACGATGCCCCTAGAGAATGTCTTCTGGAGGTTTTCTTCATAAGTATACCACTACTGGAATAAACATAGTTCTCTAGTTTCTCGGCCTCTTCTTCCGTTACCACCAGCTTTCTTATTTTCTCCAACGAGGGATCTTCCATTTGTGCTTGGATTAGATCTTCCGGTCTAAACTTTTTAGCACCTAAGAGTCTAAAGTTGAGTCTAGGCCTGCAGCCACAGAAGTCGCATCCCTGGGCCAGTGGGTCTCACTGAACAAAAGGTTCAAACCCAAATCAGCTTTGTCCTCTTCTTGCTCTGTTGATTCAGGAGGTAACCTGGTCATCGCCATGGACCTAGTGACAACTCCCAGCGGAAATAATGATAGGTCCTTCCTATTAGCCTCAACCACGTAATCCTCTCCCGAGGTATTTTCTATCACTAAAGGTTCTGTTTCTTGATTCCTTCGCAGCTTAGGTCATTACCTATCAGTAGGTCAGCAGACTTAATAGGGAATCCTTCGTCTGATATACCGACAGTCGCATATCCTTTATAGCAACCTAGGTCTAGGTATATCCTATGGAGGGGGAACTCTAGAGACGGCTCCTCCATGAAGCCTCTAGAAGTCCATCTATCTTCGTATTATAAGTGCAGTCGGATTCCCTTTTTTAACAATGTCAAGTAACTCCCCATATCCCTATAGGTTTTAATAGGTACCACTTGACACTCGTCAATACCAGTTTTTCCTTCTGAAAAAATATGGGCTCATTGCCTTCTCGTTTTCTTGCCCTGATATGGCCCTAGTCTCTGGTCATCTCGGTGAAGCGATCTTCGGTCCTGCCGGCTCTAGATCCGTCTGAAGACACCCCTGCGTGTGGGCTATTGAGGACACCATCTGCGTAGGAGCACCTTCTCGATACTTATATTTCCTATCCCTTTCCAGCTGATAACATCGGTTTCTCACATGACCTCCCTTTTGGCATTATGAACAGGACAAGTTCTTCCTGACTTTATACACCTCCCAATTATGTCGTGGTGCAAACCGGTCATCATTGCATGGCTTATCCAGGGTACTTAAATGCATTTAAGTGCTGTCTCCCCATCAATTCAATATAATTAGGTATTCCAGAGTAACTGCTACTTATAAATACACGTTGGGTCCTATAGCCCCATAACATGTTCATTCAGCAATAAGCCCTCTTATAACACCGAGACTTGCTCACTTGGCCTCACTTTAAGAGTTTCTCAAGCGCCTTCTCCAAAGGAGATAAGCCCTTGCAATGAGTTTCAGAAATTTCTGGTATCTTCTAGGGAGGTGAATGGTGGTTTAAAGCTGGATACTTCCCTAGACCCTTCCTGGTCCAGAGGAAGGTATGAACTGAATAAGGTAAGGCTTTACCAGCCAACCTTGACTCGGTAGGAGCAGTTCCCTGAATTAACCCTGAATACCTTCCAACCCCCCTCACAGGCGCTGTATAATCCTACGGGTTTAGCGCTTCCCCTTGATTATAATAATAATGTTGAAGGTAGTAGTGGTGGTGTTGGAGATATTGGTAGTATTGTTGAAGATAGTGGTGGTATTGTTGGAGGTAGTGGGGGTATTATTGAAGGTTGTAGTGATATTATTGGAGGTTGTGGTGGTATTATTGGAGGTTGTGGTGGAATTGTTGGAGGTAGTGGTGGTATTGTTGGAGGTAGTGATGGTATTGTTGGAGGTAGTGGTGGTATTACTGTAGGCTGTGGTGGTATTATTGAAGGTTGTAGTGGTATTATTGAAGGTTGTGGTGATATTATTGAAGGTTGTGGTGGTATTATTGGAGGTTGTAGTGGTATTATTGAAGGTTGTGGTGATATTATTGAAGGTTGTGGTGGTATTATTGGAGGTAGTAGTGGTATTGTTGGAGGTTGTGGTGGTATTATTGGAGGTTGTGGTGGTATTGTTGGAAGTAGTGGTGGCATTGATGGTGGTGAGTGGAAATTGTTGTGGTACTGTTGGAGGTAGTGGTGGTGATAGTGGAGGTAGTGGTGGTGATAGTGGAGGTAGTGGTGGTATTGTTGTAGGTTATGGTGGTGAGTGGAGGTTGTGGTGGTATTGTTGGAGGTAGTGGTGTTGCTGTTGGAGGTAGTAGTGGTGACGGACTGATCATGGCATCAATGAGCCAGTCATCACGGTACTGACACTTCTGGTCGATAGTATATATATATATATATATATATATATATATATATATATATATATATATATATATATATATATATATATATATATATATATATATATATATATATATATATATATATATAAGAACTTTGTCCTTGGAGGCAAAGAGGGGAATGTATGAGAGTATAGTTTTACCAACGCTCTTACATGGGTGTGAAGCGTGGGTGATGAATGTTGCAGCTAGGAGAAGGCTGGAGGCAGTGGAGATGTCATGTCTGAGGGCAATGTGTGGTGTGAATATAATGCAGAGAATTCGTAGTTTGGAAGTTAGGAGGAGGTGCGGGATTACCAAAACTGTTGTCCAGAGGGCTGAGGAAGGGTTGTTGAGGTGGTTCGGACATGTAGAGAGAATGGAGAGAAACAGAATGACTTCAAGAGTGTATCAGTCTGTAGTGGAAGGAAGGCGGGGTAGGGGTCGGCCTAGGAAAGGTTGGAGGGAGGGGGTAAAGGAGGTTTTGTGTGCGAGGGGCTTGGACTTCCAGCAGGCATGCGTGAGCGTGTTTGATAGGAGTGACTGGAGACAAATGGTTTTTAATACTTGACGTGCTGTTGGAGTGTGAGCAAAGTAACATTTATGAAGGGGTTCAGGGAAACCGGCAGGCCGGACTTGAGTCCTGGAGATGGGAAGTACAGTGCCTGCACTCTGAAGGAGGGGTGTTAATGTTGCAGTTTAAAAACTGTAGTGTAAAGCACCCTTCTGGCAAGACAGTGATGGAGTGAATGATGGTGAAAGTTTTTCTTTTTCGGGCCACCCTGCCTTGGTGGGAATCGGCCAGTGTGATAAAAATATATATATATATATATATATATTATATATATATATATATTTATATATATATATATATATATATATATATATATATATATATATATATATATATATATATATATATATATATATATATATATATATATATATATATATATATATATATGTCGATGTAAGATTCGCATGTAAAAATAACTTTATTTATATTGATGATAAGACCCGTGTTGACCTGCCTGTACTGTTGAGAGAATATGTTATTTTTGTACGTATTTTTTTTCCTCTTAACTGCTGGTGGCCTTGTTACCTTTCCAACAATGACACTGATTATTCCGGTGGTCTTATTGGTTGTGATAGTTGTATTATTATTATTATTATTATTATTATTATTATTATTATTATTATTATTATTATTATTATTATTACTCGTACTACTACCTTTACTACTGATACTACTATTACTACTATTTCTACTATTATTAATAATAGTGCTACTATTACTATTACTACTACTGCTATTAATAATAATAGAGGTAGTAGTAATAATAGTAATAGTAATGGTTCTAGTAGTAGTATTAGTGATAATAATGATTGTATTAGTATCAGTACTAGTAATAGTTGTAGTAGTATTAATATTAGTAGTATAGTAGCAGAAACAGTGATGCTGGTTGTGGTAATCGTAGTAGTAGTAGTAGCAATAGTAGTAGTGGTGGTAGTAGCAGTGGTAGTAGTGGTAGTAGTAGCAGAGGTAGTAGTAGTGGTAGTAGTAGCAGTGGTAGTAGTGGTAGTAGTAGCAGTGGTAGTAGTGGTAGTAGTAGCAGTGGTAGTAGTGGTAGTAGTAGCAGTGGTAGTAGTAGCAGTGGTAGTAGTGGTAGTAGTAGCAGTGGTAGTAGTGGTAGTAGTAGCAGAGGTAGTAGTGGTAGTAGTAGCAGTGGTAGTAGTGGTAGTAGTAGCAGTGGTAGTAGTGGTAGTAGTAGCAGTGGTAGTAGTAGCAGTGGTAGTAGTGGTAGTAGTAGCAGTGGTAGTAGTGGTAGTAGTAGCAGTGGTAGTAGTGGTAGTAGTAGCAGTGGTAGTAGTGGTAGTAGTAGCAGTGGTAGTAGTAGCAGTGGTAGTAGTGGTAGTAGTAGCAGTGGTAGTAGTGGTAGTAGTAGCACTGGTAGTAGTGGTAGTAGTAGCAGTGGTAGTAGTGGTAGTAGTAGCAGTGGTAGTAGTGGTAGTAGCAGTGGTAGTAGTAGTAGTAGTAGCAGTGATAGTAGTGGTAGTAGTAGCAGTAGTAGTAGTAGCAGTGATAGTAGTGGTAGTAGTAGCAGCAGTGGTAGTAGTAGTAGCAGTGATAGTAGTGGTAGTAGTAGCAGTGGTAGTAGTAGTAGTAGCAGTGATAGTAGTGGTATACACAGACTAGCGTCATCCAGGGGTGCTACGGTATATTCCAGCTCACTAGACAAGTGTAACGTTGCTCAGTGTACGGCCACCCGCCGATCTTGATTCACTCTCCTGTGTTCCCTCGTTGCGATGGTGACAATACAAGTGTCAGGTGTTCTCCAACACCTGCCACAGCGAGTGTCGAGTGATCATTAAACACCTACGAAGGCCATGAAATCATCCTCTGTATGAATTTCACTACACGTAAGATCTTTCATCTCTAATATATAGATATGTTTTCCAAAACTCAGGTTTGGAAAACGTACATCTGTTTTGTTTACAGATTTTATTAACCCGTAGATATTTCTGAGCAACAACAGTAAATAATTCCTTACTGAAATTATACAGGATTGAATGTGCCTATTATTGGATATTGAAATTATTATAAGTTCCTCGATGTTGATTATTATTTTGAACCATTCACATACAACGCCACAAGAGTGTATATACGAGGTGAACTACAGAAAAATTCCCATAATTACCATGGGTAGTTATCCCATATCCATCCTGAGGCAGGTAGCCATCCCATATCCATCCTATGGGAGGTAGTCACCCTTATCCTGGGGGCATCGATCTGAAGATTACAGACATATAACGGAACGATTAGCTGGGCCCCAACTTAGTGTTAACTAAGTTAGTGTTAACTAAGTTATAGTAGAAATGAACAGTTCACAATTTTATTTATTGATGCTCTTGAACATTACTTTGTAAATGGTCCAAGTCGGACCGAAACGTCGTCGTCAGCTTCCCTCTGTGCGGGTTATTTGTGTGACAGTACCATAAAGCATACATGTAGTTATGTAGCCTACATGTGGTTGTGGCATACATGTGGCTATGTAGCATACATGTAGTTATGTAGTATACATGAGGTTATGTAGCATACATGTGGTTGTGGCATACATGTGGCTATGTAGCATACATGTAGTTATGTAGTATACATGTGGTTATGTAGCATACATGTGGTTGTGGCATACATGTGGCTATGTAGCATACATGTAGTTATGTAGTATACATGAGGTTATATAGCATACATGTCGTTAAACAGTATACATATAGATATGTACTATACATGTGGATATGTAGCATATATGTGAAATGATTTTCGATGGTTGGTATTGATGAGGTGAGTTACAATTTAAGTTTAGTGTGGCTGGAATTGCTTCCCAGTCTGGCTAAAACACAATTGTTGAGAAGCTTTGTAAAGATCTACATAGAGCTTTACCACAGAGCGTCATCACTTGGTAAAGCTCTACACAGAGCTAAACATCGCGTAGGTTGCTCTGTAAGAAATGTCTTTTTACGACATTTTGTGTTGTTACATAATTGATGTCGCTGGAGCAACCTCAGCTTCACCCAAGGTCATTCTTCAATGAGTTGGCAAGTTCCTGGATTCAAGATTGCCCTTCAATGTGCTGACATTCTCCTGGATTCAAGGTCACCCTTCACTGAATTGACATCTTCCTGGACTCCAGGTCACCCTTCACTGAGCTGACATCCTTATTTACTCCAGGTCACCCTTCACTGAGCTGACATCCCTATTTATTCCAGGTCACCCTTCACTGAGCTGACATCCTTATTTACTCCAGGTCACCCTTCACTGACCTGACATCCCTATTTATTCCAGGTCACCCTTCACTGAGCTGACATCCTTATTTACTCCAGGTCACCCTTCACTGAGCTGACATCCCTATTTATTCCAGGTCACCCTTCACTGAGCTGACATCTTCCTAGACTCCAGGTCACCCTTCACTGAGATGACATCTTCCTGTTAAGTCAATTTAAGCGATAACTTATTCATGGAAGTAACCTGAGATTTATTTTCACAGAATTTTTGTTATTAGCACCGAACAAACACAACGCCCAAACCAACACTAAGCGAGTAGTGGGTGGCGCCATATTTCCAAACAGTAGGAATACCAAAAAAGGGAAGACTGCCATCCCCACGAGCCCCTTTGAGGCGGGGTAGATGGCAGACCAGAGGCCTAGCTTCTCCTTACGAGCCCCGTGAGGGCGGGGAATGTGGCTAGGCCTGGGGACACTTGGTCCCGAAGATGAGGAGGTACTTGTACCTCCTCCCATGGGAGACTTAAGTCTCGAGACACTCCCCAGATAGGGAGCCAAGGCCGGGTCACCACTACTTGGAAAAGACCCGGGCCGGGAGAGAATACCGGCGAATAATAATAATAAAAAAAAAAAAAAGTAGGAATACCTTCGTTATAGTCTTACATAGAAGAAATAATCCTAAAATACGTAAATTGCCAAATTTTAATCAAAACTGCTGTTACAATTTCAAGTTATTTTTTTTAAAATCTTATTCTTATTACTGTACAAGAAATAATAAATATATATATATATATATATATTATATATATATATATATATATATATATATATATTATATATATATATATATATTATATATATATATATATATATATATATATATATATATATATATTATATATATATATATATATATATATATTGTAACTAAGAGTCAGGCTGCAGTGGCAGCCTATGTAATAGCCAAGAAATGGGGTTCTTAACCTTTTTACGATTACAGATTCCCTGTTAGAGTGCCCAATATTTCCCCATTCCCCATTCACCAGACTGTCGAAATCATCATCGTCACCAACAGTCCTATTAGGTTCCAGTATGACCTTAAAAGATGTCAGTAGTTTGGTTTTACTTTACATATGAAAAGCTAGCAACAGAACAGTTGATAATTTATTCTAATCTAACGATGTAGATAAATAGTTCAGATAACCAATAAGTTGATAAATAAGACACATGTGCAACACCTGGGTATCTTTATTATGGAAATGTTTTGCCAGCCAGTGGCTTACCCAAAACAAAACAAAGAAGAATGGTTGAAGATCTTTGACCATTCTTCTCTGTATTGGACTGATAAAGCCACTGTGTGGCGAAACGTTTCCACAGTAAAGATACTCATATATTGCATAAGTGTCTAATGCATGAACCTTGTCGGTTCTCTGAACTATTTATCTGCAAATTAATCAATGTCGTTCCTCACAGACATAAATGACGTACCAGAAGGGAAAGTTTTACATGGCAGCTTGTGCAGACAGCGTTATAATAATTGAGGAGTAAATGCAAATAGCGCATGACTACAGGAAACTGTAGGATCTAAACAGACTAAAGAATTGATGATAAAAAGTGGCTGCTAGAATTCAACCCAAGCAAATGAAGTGTACACACAAAAAATGATATAGGTAAGAGAAGGCTGGACGTAGTGTATCATCTGAGCTAAGAGTGATTTACACAATCGCGAAACTGAAATAATTTTTGAATAAACATGATTCATGTCTTGAACTGCTCAGTTATATGCAGATTAACGGCAGCACGATCTGCATGACTAGCAAACATATGAATTACCCTTTGAATAATCGTTGAGAGCTCTGTTTACCACACACTGGAGACCATAAAAGATCGATCGTCAGTGTTGCAGCTCTGCTAGAGGACGTGGTGCTGTGTTGGTTCCCAGTTTGCATAAGGATAACCTTGGTCAAGAAACATCAGACGTTAATGCAAAAACTGTAGTAATGATGATAAGACACATGTGTAACAGTTAGATGTATTTATTCCGAAACTTTTGTCTACACAGTAGGCTTCTTCAGTCGAAGACATTGCTATAATGAGGGTAAGTCTGTAACATATCTCCGCCACACTGTAGCTTCATGGGCCACACTGGTATATCTCTGGGAAATGACAAGTCCAGTGGGCCCTGGACCATGATACACCGACACGTCATCATAAGGTTCCTCTTGAAAGTCTAGGTTTTTGGCGAAAATTCTACAGATTTCGGCAAGATGGTGTTTGTTTATCCTCTTCCCACAGGAATAATTACAGTTAAACTATTCTCTATAGGTTGAGGTTCGGAAACGCACACCTCAGCCATAAAGCAGCTGACCCTACACCTCTCTGTGTCGCAAGTGACATGCTGTGACTGATGAAGTCTGACTGCGACAATAGTTTCTCGCATTTAATTAACGGCCGGAGGATCGAACCTCCACCACACTCAGTGATCCACACGAGTTTTGCACTTCACATACACATACTACATAATAACATTAATATTTTCATTAAGTCTAATGCTATTTCATGTGTCTTGGTCATCCAGTCTGTTCATGTTTATCGATAAAACCTTAAAAATATTGTATATCTCCAGCTAAATATCGTAGCCGGACGACACCAGTAATACCGTAACTATATTTAGGCAAACAGAAATACTTTATAGCAAACTCGCACGAGTGTTCCTATAGTCATGTTACCCTGAACGTTATTGATCAGTGTATGTACACCAGTGTACGCTACTGAGAGAGAGAGAGAGAGAGAGAGAGAGAGAGAGAGAGAGAGAGAGAGAGAGAGAGAGAGAGAGAGAGAGATTATATTCTACAGGTGTAATAAAAGGCGGGAAATAATCCTTGAAGGAGTGACCTGATGTCTGTGAAGGATTTTCTAATTACTTTCATCTTTCTTAGAAGAAAGCTAAGTGCCTCTCATTCTCGAAGATCTATCTGTATGACTGTTACGGATTTAGCGTTTCCCCATGAATATAACAGAGGAATAGAAAACTGAATCAGGGGCCAAGGATAGAGACAAAGAAGAAACTAAAAACAACCCATAAAAGGTGCAAAGATAAAGAAAATACATAATCCACACAGAGAAAGTGGGATTGAAGACCATTTATCACAAGAACGAAAAAAGAAAAACAAAGGAATAACACATGACAATTTATGTTAATGATTTACAGTGCTGATAGGTTGATGATTAAGGCATGTGCAACACCTGGGCATCGTCAATAATGATACACGAGTGTTGCAAATGTGTCTTATTCATCAACGAAGGCCTGTGGAGGCCATGAAGAGGTGGTGCGCGCGGCGACCACCTTCACAGGGAATGTGCAATGTGGTCATGAAATATTCACGACTCCGACTCTTTAACCTCAGGTAAATGTGACTGTCCCACTTTGCTGAACGTTGTAGTTAATTCCCTTAAAGATGGTACCTCGTCTCTGGTCTAATGTTCTCAGTCTTATTACTTTGCACTTACTGGGGATGATCTACAATAGCCACTTACTGTTAAAAGGCAGTAGAGGGCGACAGTTAGAGGGAAATGGAAACGAATGTATGCGTGTAGGACACCTTAACTGAAAACGTTTCGGTCCTGGGATCTTGATTGCT